TTTTTGTAATTTATTGATTTAATTTTTTAAAAAGAAAAATAAAATATTCATTCAGTTTTAATGTCCTATAGGCAAAACAAAAATAATATTTTTAATATTAAAAGAAAAGAGCAGGAACGTCGTCGACAAAGAAGACGACAACAACTGCTCAATGATCATCGAGCCATAGAGGATGGCATTACTGTCGATGATCATCGTCGTCGACCTCAAAGACGACGAGTTACTATGCGTAAGAAGGATTATGAAAAGATGGAAAAAACAACAACCGTCTTTTCTAATCCATCTGACTTAGATGGCTATGCTGAGTTAGAAAAAACAGTAACTAACTCGCATAGCAATGCTTTCTTCGAGAACCATAGAGAGGTAGAAAAAAAAGCAACTATATCTCATGGTTCTGCCGGCTTTGAAACGATTGGGGATCGTGTTAGAAATCGTAGAGAAGCCGTGACAAAATCAAGAGAGCCAGAATGGCAAGCTAGCCTTGGAGAAATCCAAGCACCCCCTTACGAGGCTATAGACTCTCTTGCGAAAGAGAAGGCTAGCGGGACTATTGGAGAGTACGGGGCTGGAGCTATCAGTGCTAGACTTAGTGGTGATAGATCGGTCAGCGGAGCTAGCCCCACTACGCCTTCTTTTTCACCAGATCCCCTTAATGACCCCTCTCAGGACGCCCCTATGAATCCCCCTGAAGAAACCCCCTTTGTCCCCACTAATGTCCCACCTAATGATGCCCAAATGATGGAGGATGCCTTAACTGATGGTGAGGTTGCTGCTCTACTAGAGGAAATAAACCATGAAGAGGAAAATGCTACCTTAGATTTCCTCACTCTAGATAGAGTACCACCTACAGAAAATGAAATACATCTCCTCCAACTGGCAAGAGCAAATAATACAGATGACGAGATAGAATTTAGTGTCATCAAAAAAAGAGATTTTGGGCTAGAAAATACTGCGCAAGCATGGCGTGGTATGTTAGGGGAAACCTATAGAATAAGTCGATTAATTAAGGAACATGACTTAATTCCCCTAGTAGAATTGGTATTTGGTGGAAGGCGGCGACGATTTATTGTTAACTTAGAAAATATCGAACCGCAAGTATTTATTAATAAATGTGTGGGATTTGAAGTTGGCATAGAAGAATTTTGGAGGAGATATGATGATGAAGAAAGTGAGTTAAATATTCCACCAGGAAAAATTGTAAATGAAATCATCATTACAATAGTGAAACCTCCTCAACGCCAACGAATCGATGGAGCAGTGTTTAATTACTATCTTGATGAACACTGGCAACCGTTAGAATATATCCTCAAAAAATATCAAATATATGTTCTAGATGAGGTTGCAACAATAGAAAATTGTTTTGTTAATGCACTCCATCAGTCCGGTGTACTTACATCATCAGAAATGACCCATTTAAGATCAATAATAAAGGGCATTTCAGTCACCAAGAAAACACTGAGACAAGTAGCAGAAGAGTTTAAGTTGAATATTACTCTTAGATATTATAAAGGGGACAAAATTGAAAGCTCTCAAATCACATATGGGAACCGAAGTGTTAAATTATTCTTACTACGGTGGAAAAAAAACAACCACTACATTATTGATGATACGGTTCCAGTGACATCATATTTCATTACACATTATGATGAAATAGTAGAATATGCAAAAGAAAACAACGAAGACATAACTAAATATTTTAACGTTGTTAAGAAAGAAAGAGGGCAATATAAGCATTCTCTCAGTCGATTTATTCCAGCTTATAAGTGTATTAAACTATTACAAGAGAGTAATGCATTTAAAGAAACAAGAAGAGATTGTCTAATAAAGACAAAATATTATGATTCATTTTTATTTGACTCGATCAATGATGAATTAACAAAAATAGAGTCAAGAATAATGGGGGAAATAAAGAAAAAAGAAGTTACAAATACGTTATTATTTGCAGACTTTGAATGTTTTACAAGTGGTGAATTCCACCAACCTTTCTGCATTATAGTAATGAAAGAGAATGGGGCATGGAAAAGTTTCTATGGATTACATTGTGCTTACGATTTCATTGAATATATAAGCACCATAGATTCACCGATATGTTACTTCCATAACTTAGGATATGATGGAAGATTCCTTGCTAGATTTGGAATTATTAATATTATTATGAGAGGGAAAATGATTTATAAAATGGTAGTAGAATATAAAGGGAAGAAAATTATCTTTAAAGATACCCTTTCATTGATTCCAACCTCCATAGCTAATTTTAAGCAATTCTTTAAACTTGATGGAGAATATGAAAAAGAAATACTACCATATAATTATTATTCAGAAGAGACAATGGAAATTGGAATCATCAATGAATGTGGAAATAATGAACAACCAGTCTGGAGTGAAGACACTAGAAAGAAATTTAAGGACCTTCTAGTAAAATGTAATTGTCTTATTGATGACACTCACTTTAATTCTAAAAAATATTGTGAGTATTATTGCCTTCGTGATGTTCTTGTGCTTAGAGAAGGCTTTTTAAAATATCGTCAAATGGTCCAAACACATCTCCAGCTTGATTGCGTCTGTTATGCCTCACTCAGTTCAATGGCATATGCATTCTTTGTTAACAATTGTTTTGCTAAAGACGCGTTATTTGAATATACAGGGGTTGTTCGAGAATATATTAAACAAGCGGTATATGGAGGAAGAAATATGACCAGTGAAAATAAAAAATATTATATCACTGATGAAATTGTTGACTTTGATGCGTGCAGCTTGTATCCTTCTGCTATTGCACGATTATATCTTCCATTATCATCACCAAATAGAATGGTTCAACCAATTGAATGGTATCTTGAACATTTAATGGATGAACAACAGTTTGAACCCACTGAAACGAAATTTATCTCATATTTTGTTGTTACAATAGAGATAACAAAGATAAATAAGAAGAGAAAAATGCCCATTATTATTAAGAAAGTGAATGGGATAAATCAATATATAAATGAAGAAACCACCATGACAGTAGATTCGATCTACTTGGAAGACTTAATTAAATATCAAGAAATAGAATTTAAGGTGGTTCAGGGGATATATTGGAAAGGCACTAAGGTTGGACTATTTAAAGAGAAAATAAAAGAGATTTATAGAGTTAGAAAAGAAATGAAACAGTCCCATGATCCAGCAGAGATTATATTTAAGCTGGTAATGAATTCTTCCTATGGAAAAACCATCCAAAAACCAATTAAGGAAGAAAAGAAATTTTTTAGAGGAAGAAAGAAAATGACATCGTTTTGGAGACGACACTTGGAAGATGTCATTGTTGGGGAACAACTACATGATGCAGACGTTTGGATGGTTAATGTGAAAAAACAAATAGATGATTTTTATATCCCCAACATTATTGGTGTTCTTATTCTCTCTATGTCCAAGAGAATAATGAATGAACTAATTTATTTATGTGAAGATTTGGACATTGATGTTTATTATCAGGACACTGATAGTATTCATATAAAGAAAAAGGATCTACTAAGACTTGAGAAGGAGTTTAAAGAAAAGTATGGTAGAGACTTAGTTGGTTCTGAACTAGGACAGTTCCACTCAGACTTCCCCCCTGTTAAAGGAAAACCATCCTGGTCAATTAAGTCTATCTTCCTTGGGAAGAAGTCTTACCTTGATGTTCTCACTAATGAGGATGGTGATATAGATTATTTAATTAGAATGAAAGGCATCCCCAAGAAGGTAATACTTGGTACTGCAAAAGAAAAATTTGAAGGGGATGTGGTAGCTTTGTATGAACACCTTTACGCAGGCTACCCACTTAGTTTTGATTTATCAAAGTATGGTCCCCACTTTGTTATTGAAAGGGACTTTAGAGTAAGAACTCTTGATGAGTTCAAAAGAACAATTAAATTTTAAAAAAGAAGCTCTCAATTAAGTCTAATTGATTCTTTTTCTATCTATTCTGTTATTTTTTATTTAAAAGAACATCATTATAAAGTGTTTTTCCGTACTCTTTAATAACATCTTTTATTTTCTTTCCTTCACTAATTTCTGTGAGTGCTTTTCCATTTGTTTCATACCATTTTGGTACTCTATCTAATACTTGATCTATTATTTCACCACCTGGAAGAAATGATGCTATTCCTTTTGAAATAGGAATTATTTTAGATGCTATAGTACCTGTTGTTTTATATAACTTCCCTCCTATTCCTGCTATTTTCTTTCCTGCTGTCTTAATTATATTCTTTAACTTTTTAATAAAACCAAATTTCATTAAATAATATTTTTAGTTATAAATAATCATCTACTTCATCTTCATCTATTTCTTCATCTATTTCTCCATTCTTATCATATTCTTCGTTATTATTAAGTCTATTAGCAAATAATAAAGGTTTTGATTTTGTTTTTGGTTTTAATGAAACATGTTCAGGTACTTGATTAATAATTTTACTTGCTGTTTTAGTAATATCATTTGGTATTTCATTTTTAACTTGATTTAAATATCTTTTAGTTGCACCAACAACATTTTCACCTGATGCTATTCTATTTAATACTTCACTTGTAGGTTCTGCTATTTTACTAATTACTTCTGTACCTTTTTTAATTATTTCACCACCTGGAATAAAATCTGATGCTATAGAAATAAGTGGTTTTGCTTTTTCAATTACATTCCCACCAAATTTCGCACCAGAAGCTAATAGTGCTGCAACTTTCTTTAATCCTTCTTTAAATCTCTTCCAATTACCGAACTTCATGAATGAAATAAAAGATTGAACTAAGAAATCAAAATAAACAAGATGAATTATAATGTTATTAAAGCATTAGATCAAGAAGAGACAGGTGACCTTATCAAATACTTCAATTATACAGATGGAATACTTGAAGCTAATTCAGGTGTTCATGATAATAAATGTTTATCAATAGATTCATCTGATCCACCATGTCCTGTACAAAAAGGAATGTATACTAAAGTAAAATTGACAGATGAATCAATTCAAATTACAAATATAGATAAATCATCTATTACTGCATTAGTTAGAATTCAAATTAAACCAACTGAACAATTTTGGACACAAATAAAAGATAGTCAAGAAGGAGATATTTCAGGATTTCAAACAGGAAGATTAACAGCAATAGAATATTTTGTAGGATTAAAATCATCAACACATTTATTTGATGCATATCGTGTATATTCAAGAAATAAGAAAACAGCATGTGAACAAACAGAAGCATTATATGAGAATGCAGCTA